AACCGGTTGCACGTTCCGGATCACAAAGCACCCGGGCACCCGATTGAAGCCACGCTTTTCGACTTGCTGTGTGTGCGGCACAGTGCGTCACATTTTGTGTCAACACTTAGTAGAACTAAAACTGAGTATATGAGATGTGACTTCGACACTACTACTCGGGAGGAGGAAGATGTTAGTTTGGAAGGTCAAGTAGTGCCTAGGATGGATACCTTTCGATATTTAGGATCAATGCTACAGAGAGACGGAGATATTGATGAAGATGTTAGCCATAGAATCAAAGCAGGGTGGATGAAGTGGCGGCAAGCGTCTGGTGTCCTATGTGACAAAAGGGTACCACAGAAACTAAAAGGCAAGTTTTATAGGACGTCGATTAGACCTGCTATGTTGTATGGTGCAGAATATTGGCCTATGAAAAGACGATATATTCAACAGCTAAGTGTCGCGAAAATGCGTATGTTGCGTTGGATTTGCGGGCATACAAGAAGGGATCGAGTTCGGAACGATGATATACGTGAGAGATTAGGGGTAGCGCCAATTGAAGAAAAGCTTGTCCAACACCGGTTGAGATGGTTTGGACATGTGCAACGGAGACCTTCAGATGCACCGGTGCGTAGTGGAATCCTAAGTCAGGATAGTAACGTGAAGAGAGGCAGAGGAAGACCGAAGTTGACTTGGGTAGAGGCAATAAAAGGAGACTTGAAATGATGAAATATACCCAAAGACTTAGCCTTAGATAGGAATGCTTGGAAGACAGCTATTCACGTGCCTGAATCTTGATGGTTTCTGTTGGGTTTCAACTCTAGTCTACCCTAACTTATTTGGGACTTAAAGGCTTTATTATTGTTGTTGTTGATGAATCGTGTCAAGTGTTTCATCCTCGTAAAACTTATTTCTTCTCTCTTATCATTAAAATATTATCATATCATCAAAGTACATATATAATAGACTACTCAATACAAATAAAACTCTCGTAAAACTCCCGGTGAAACCGCCAACACATCAACCTCGTTGGCGCCGAGCCTTATCGCGAAAAACGTTGCAATCCAGAGCGAAATCACCGGCTATTTTGCCGCGTTCCATTGCACGTGCGCTCCAGTGCCGCGCCGTCGCTTCCGTCGCCTCGTCCGGCTCCTGTCGTCCGCGCGGCAGGTAGACACGGCGGCGGCCGCACGCGCGTGGGGGCCTGCCGGCAGCCGGCAGCCGGCAGCGCGGAGTACGCTCTGGCCCGGTGCAACTGCGCGACGCGTCGGCAAAGCAGTGGGCGCGGCCGGAAGCTGGGCGCAGAAGATCAAGCGCCGTCGTCTGGTCCACGTGTACCCCACCAACTCCAGCAATTCCATACCACGCGGGCATACGCATAGCTCCTATCACTGGCCGGATGGCCCCACATACGTTCGCTTAATATGTCAGTGACGGAACGCAGAGACGCGTACGACTAGTATGCCGACCTGATAAAGTAGGACCAGGCGCTATAAATAAACGGGTGGACTCCGCCCGGCATGATGAGCTACCGCATCCTCACCGTCCACGTGTACCCTTCCGGCCTAAATATCCTACACGCACCGGACGGACTTTCTACCTCTGCAACTGACGTTTGGGCCTACCCAACTCGCACCCCACATGTCAGTGGGGAAAGTAGGTTTGGAGCGGGGTAGCGGGAGGCGCAGGAGCACGAAGGCGGCCGGAGTGGGGAGAGCCGCAACCCACCGTGAAAATGCAAAACCTACAAAACTTTGTACCTTCTAGTGTAGCGTCCACGTGGGGCCCGGCATTGCGTGTCCCACATGTCTGTCGTTGCGGAAGGAGGGAGGTTAGGCCTGGTCTTGGCGGACGCGGATCGGTCGCATAGATTATGTGGTGCGGGATTAGCGAGCGATCGAGCTGTCCCCAAAGCTCTTGCCTCTTGCGCCTTGCTAGCTTTGCTTGCCCCCCTGCTCCCTCCCTCCTCTAGTCTTCTTCCTCGTCACCTCTTCTCTGATTCTTCCTGGTGTTTGCCGGAGTAAAAGGATAGGCGCGAGGGGAGGAGGGTGCTGTGCTCGGCCACAGGTCATCGGCGCTACGCAAGCGCGCTGCCTGGGTACGTATCTCTTCTCGCCTCTCTCGAGCTCTGCTTGGTCTGGTCGGACGGAGGTTTCGTGAGCACAAGTTCTTCGCTCGTCTCTCGGTCTCTGTACTAGTATCGATGCTTCTTTTGAACTTTCTTGCGTGTGATTAAGATGGGGACTGCGGAGGGCCGCCTCTCACGGTGAATTTAGTGGGAATTTGTGGTGATTTTTTAGCATGAACATGAGGAGATTTCGTCGAGCTGCTGAGAAACACGGAACCGTTCTGTTTTTTTCTGTGTGAAATTCGAGTCCCCAAAAGACGATGGGTACACAAAGACGATCCTGTAGTTCCAGACTCTAATAAGATCGACAGAGATGTTTGGTGAAGGTTGTTGGCCCTGGTCTCTCTTCTCCGCACTTTTTTCTCCGCTCCTCGTGAGTCCGCGCTGTGATTTGCCGACGACGAGGAGTGAAGTAAGCCCCTCTTTTTGTGATGTGATGTGATGTGAGGAATTTTACGGGGCTCGTTGCTGCTTTGACGTACGGTATATTTCGCCTCCGATTTTCCTTTTCTGTCCTTGCGAGGGAGATTTGTGATGGGTCTACAAAACGAAAAGTAGGGGTAAGGGGAAAAAAGGAACAGGAGGGCATTTAGTCACTGGTAGAGTTGTTACTTGCTGCCAGAGGATCCCATAGTATTAGGGGGCCTGTTTTGCTTTGGCGAATTCACTTATAATATGCTCCCGGCATGCGAGAAGTGACAACTGCTTTCGAGTTTCGAGTAGAGTATATTTGTTAACTAGTACTATTGTTTAGTCAAAGACGCATAGCCTCTTCTTGTTTTGTTGATAATGATTACACTTTACATTACTTCCTTTGTCCACATACTAATCCTCACAATACTAAGTGTTTGTTTTCTCATGTAGAACTGATTAGCGGCTTTCCCAGATTTATTAGTGATTAAGTATGTTCTTTCGACTACATTAGGTTGCAGATGATTTACTGTTTCACTTTTTCCCCACTAATGTCTTTAGTGATATCAAATGTTTCAACAGTTGGCCTTTTCCTACTGGAACTGCAGTACTTTGAACATGCTTTTTGCAAATACTTGCATTAAGGATGAATAAAATGTTAAGCAACGACTGTTTAGGGACACAGGAGCCTCATACATTTTGCAAGACCACTGAAACATTGGAACATTCACACCCTCAAGAGATTACACCCGATAAAACAGCGGCGGGGTCAACGCTAATAAGTCATCAAAATGGTAAAGTCTGCATAGTTTCCAGTCTCATCTACCTGGCTAGATTCATTTCAATCTTTCCTACTGTCAATAAATTGTGTTTTTCACTTTTTCCTGCTTGGAGTGTATATATGGTCAAAGCAGATCCACAAAAGATAATATGTATTCTATGCTATAGGCTGCACCTTCATAGTCCGTAACTCGGGGGTAAATACACAACCTGAAATGCAAAAAAACTCAGTTCTGGCCATGTTACCGGTACTGAGTACTGGTATTGCTGATATTCTGATTGAACGGTACTTTGTAACATGAAAGGAGACGTACTTCATCCATATGTGGTTAATCCTGTTATCTCCAGCCAAGATGAAAAATACTGTTCTAAGCTCACAGAAAGATTAAATTAAACAGAACACAAAGTTTCACTAACAAGTTTTAGTCATCTTCAGGAAATTGTCAAGTTGGAGTTTCACTTGATTTTTTAAAAATATCCACATCTTTTTTTTTTTATTCAGAAGAGGGAAATGTCAATATACAGTTGAGAAAACCCATTTGTGGCTTGTAAGGTAGAACCGGAAGCATCTTTGTTGTGTCAAAGTGGAAAAGAGAATGTTCTAGTTAGTGTGTTCAAATGATGTAGGTGAATTAATATATTGTGAAGAGTAGTCTAAGATACGGGTTTTAGTTGTTCTTCGTATTGCAATATGCTGCACAAATGTTATTGTTATAAATGTCATGATGCTGGTACAGTGGTACCAAAGTTCAGCTAGGCGCTAGGCGACTTCTAGGCGATGACCCATAGCCTAGAGCCTAGGCGAGCTTAAGCGAGCCTAGGCGTTTTAAGGCGTTTTTCTAGGCGTTTTGTATATATACTAATATACATATATTATCTTCTAAAAGAAAAAATAAACAGCTGAAATAGTGGGTTTAGATAGATTGAAAGGCTGGCTTAGAGAGATAGAAAGGCCCAAATGGCAACAGTCCAGCCCATCTCCCACTCCAGGTCTCCAACCTTATCCTTCTGTTCGGTCTCCCGCATCCTCTGCTCGACGCCGCTTCCTCTGTTCGGTAGCCCGCATCAGCCGCCGCCTCCGATTCCTCTCCCTCTCCGGCATCTCTCTCTCCTCTAGTGCGTGCCCACCCCGCCCCAGCGCGACGCCTCCCGCCCCGCCCAGCTCCTCCTCCTCTCTACCGGCGACCTCCGCATGAGCTCCTCCTCCCCACCGGGCGCCGCCGGCAGCTGGCGCCGCCTAAGGGTCCGCCTACCCCCTAGGCCAGGTAGGACCCCCCCGCCTGCTGCCGCCCGCACACGCCCACGCACGCGCCCGCGCCCGCCGCCGCTCTCAGCTCCTCCTCCCCCACCGGCGACCTCCCGCTGCGACCTCCCCCACCGGTGACCTACCTCCTTGCGCCTGGATGTCCGCCTACCCCCATAGGCCAGGCGGGAACCCATCGACTAGCGACTAGGCGCGCCTAGGCGCGCCTAAGGCGTCGCCTTTTTTAACACTGAGTGGTACTGCACAACATTATTTTTATTATTGTAAGTTTATTTTTTATAAAAAGGAAGAATTACAGTGAATGTTTTGTCCTGATCACAAAAATTCAAGTTTGAATAAATCTGTGCAGCCTCTTCCCCTCCCAAAATTATTAACTTTATCTTGTGTTGTAGAATCTAGGGCCTTCAGCACAAAATTAGTTGGGTACAGCATTACTGTATGGCTTATGATACACTAATCCATATTTACAGTATGTATTGAGATGCACTTTCACAAGCACATGGAGATTTGAACTTGATGTGGGAAAAGATAATTTAGCATATTAGTACCAATTTTATTTAGTAGCTTATTGCTGGATTGGAAGAATGTGTTATAACTTTTTTCTTCCTTCCCTTTTTGCAGTGTGCTGCACTGCCGAAGTATCAGGGGAAAACGCGGAAATTATGGAAATCAGCTTATTGCATGATGAATCCAATGCAGGAACCACCAGTTTGCTACCACTGCCATTGTTATCATATGGACCAAGATCAATGGTAATTAACCTTTATTTTCCTTTCAGAAAGTTCCTGTGGACACCAACATAATTGCACCACTAAAGTTTAGTTCTCTCTCCATACTGGATTCTGCTTCCCAGGAGCAAGTTATCTGAGTAACTGTGTTCATACTCTAGTCTCAAAAATGGAAGAAGAATGGAAAAAGAAAACACAAACCAACCTTGACACAACACCATGCATATTGTCAGCCAACCACAAAGCCCAGTTCTTGAGCTTTGTACTGATTCCAGCTAATACCACAGCAGCTGCGTTTAGATTATCAAACAACTTCCCTCGATCAAATCATTTTGGATTTAGTTCTCTTAGATTTTCATTCTAGGAGTATTTAATAAACTCTATCATGAAAAGCTTCAGTTATTTTTTAGAATTTTCTTTGCTGGTAAAGAAAAGTTGAAACTCATAAAAAACACATTTTTAATTTTGAAATGCGCTGGTGAACAAATGTTATATTTGGAAATGATAAAAGCATTAGGATGAGGTAGGACAAAGCCAATTACAGTCTTTAGTTTTTAAACTCGCAATACTCTAACAAGCACTGAGTTTGTCAAACCAGTATTTGCAATTGCAAATTATAAAAATTCTGCTCTATAACTAACCGTGCAACTCAAATAGTTGGATAATAATGGTCTGATTTGTCATAATGCAGCTGCTAGTGCTCTCGATTATCAAGCTGTGAGAGCTCTGCTTAGAAACAATAGTGTATCAGTAGAAGTGAGTGGAATGATCTTTCTTAGCATCAATACGTCATTATGTAATTTCCTACAGAACTGCATCTTTGTTTCATTGTGTTTTGAGATGTTATGCAGTATTGAATACTAAACCTATTACAAAATATTTTTCAGGTTCCAATACAAGTACCATCGTCATCAGACCTTGAGAGTATCCTGTCACCAGATCCAATCTACAGTGATCTTCAGTTGAAAGAGATAAACTACAATGCTGCAGGTAACACGGCTTAGCTTCCAAGTTTTCTGTGTTAACTTGATTTCAGGTGTCTATACATTTACATTCCCGTATTGGATGTCTTGACTGCTTTGACATTTGTACTTTTTATCAGTTTGTGTTTTTTAGTTTATCCAATTATTGGCCAACTATCTGATATAGTTGGCTGCTGAAGGCCCTGGTTATTCTTCATTGACTTTTCTTTTATTTATCTGTCAATTGCAGCAATGGATGAAAGCACTGAGTTCCTTCACCTGATTCTTAGTGGCAATGATGAAGGATACAATACCACAACTGAATTACAAGTTTGGGATGTTCTGGATTTCTATGTCTCAGAAAACTTTTCTGCTCTCCAATTTGATAGTTTGATGGGTTTTACAAATGAAGTTAGTACTTCCTACAATGATTGTATGAATTTAGTTGACATGGTAGAGCGGCCCGTGGCTCGTCTGTCTCTAGATGATACACCAAAACCAAGTAACAGTGACGATGCGGTTCCGGCAGACAATGTCACAATGGACCCTGATGAAACATCCTTATACCTTCAGACAAAACCAACAGATTCAGAAACAGAAAGTAGTTCTGTCGCAGGAGATGTTGAAACTGAATATCTAGATCAAAAGCTACTTTCTAGATGTCTGCCTGATTTAATGGATGTTGACTCGCCCAACCGCTTACTGAAAACACCATTGAGAACAAAACATGTGACTCTTGTGCTTGATTTGGACGGTGAGCAGCACTAACTTCTCATGGAATATTACTTTTGAATGTGGCTTATAATTTCTGGTACTTTTCAGTATCTGTTCACTAGCTACTGCATGTTATCATTATTTTTCAGTTAAATATTTTATGCTATTTGCCTGTCATCCCGGGTTCGAGTCGCGGTCTCCTCGCATTGCACAGGCGAGGGTAAGGCTTGCCACTGACACCCTTTTCCAGACCCCCACAGAGCGGGAGCTCTCTGCACTGGGTACGCCCTTTTATTTGCCTGTCATGATCAGGAATGTGGAATTCAGTTGTAATATAAACATTTTTACTCCAATATTCTTTGTATGATAGTCTAACGGTTTCTCATATGCAGAGACTCTTGTACATTCAACACTGGATCAATGCGACAATGCTGATTTTACCCTAGAAGTTTTCTTTAATATGAAAAATCACACAGTGTATGTGAGAAAAAGGCCTTACCTGAAAATGTTTCTTGAGAAGGTTGCTCAGCTGTTTGAGGTTGTCATTTTCACAGCTAGTCAGAGAATCTATGCGGAGCAACTTATAGATAAACTTGATCCTGATGGAAAATATATCTCGCGGCGTATTTATCGTGAATCTTGTATATTCTCTGACGGTTGCTATACAAAGGACCTGACAATTCTGGGGATCGACTTGGCAAAAGTTGCAATAGTTGACAATACTCCACAGGTACAATCCCTTTCCAATATATAAGGTTTATGCTTTATCTGTTTCCCTTTTGGTTACTTTATCTTGATCTCTGGTAAGTCTAGTCTATCACTATATATTGTGATATGTTGGTCTCAGCTATTTCCTTCTGAACTAGAGGTGGCAAGAAACTAAACTATCTTTTCATCAGAGCATTTTTTGCTATCTTAAAGTATTTATATACTATATATATTCATTATTTTTTAATTAATTGGAGCATTTCTTTGTCCAGGTTTTCCAGTTGCAAGTGGACAACGGCATACCAATTAAGAGCTGGTTTGATGACCCCTCAGATCAGGAATTGATCGATTTACTCCCATTCCTGGAGAGCCTCGTGGATTCAGAGGACGTGAGGCCAATAATTTCAAAGACCTTTCATGACAAACTTGAGCAGAATTAGTTTTAGAGGCATACAGATGTATCATCCAGTGAACCTGTCGCTGAAGTTAGCTTCGCTCCACAGGTGCAGGCCATTCTTGGGAAGTTAGGTATAGGGATCAAGATTCACCATTTATGTTATGTTAGCTGTTACAAATAGCAAGCATAAACAGCGGTCGTCGATGAAAATGGCTTGTATATGTGTGTCCCTTCGGGTTTCCGTGTCACAGATCATTGTACAGAGACGAACAATAGTGCTGAATAAAGTGATCTGAGTGCAATTTTGCTCATGAGGACGCCTCAAGCAGGAACATGCTTCTGTTTATAACATAACGTGAACTCCAGTCAAAACTCGTCGCTTTATCTACTTTTGACGCAGAGTCTAGCGGGGCTAGGATAATTTATACCGGGATTTGATGTATGTTCGTGGTTTATTTTCTCCGTTTAGTAACCAGAGTAGTGATCTGATTTTATCATGTTTCATGAGAATTATTAATCTAGAAATTCCTTTAAAGCACCTGAAGCAATCGTTGTCACTTAAGACCTTACGTTGCTTGAAAGCGATGCCAAGACTGAACTGGTCGTTGCAGATGACGCTTTCCGTGTCCAATTGACCAAGTATTTTGATAGCCTGGGATAGACAGCTCAACGGAAACAAGCGAATGCTCGAGTTTTACCTACCGATTATTACGACACTGCACCTAATATAGTTCAAGATTAATGGGCAACATGTTCTTGGAGCTGGTTCAAGATCGATCTGCAAACATTCATACCAAGCAAATTTTTGCTATATCTTTTATCTTTCTGAAGTGACTCTGATGTAGCACATTGATATATGAGAAACATCTCTATACAACATTTAAAACGTTAATGTTCCTTCCTTTCCCTTCTGCCTCCTCGCTCTAGTAGAAAAGAAATTGGCGCCTAAATTGCCCAGATTACAAGCCGCTGGACTACCCCTTCAGTGTGCAACCAAGGGCACACTTCTCAGGCACAGGCAGATACAAGCTGGTGCCCAAAATAGAACAAACATGTTGACACGCTTCATGCCGCCGATGGTGGTTCCTGTTTTCCACAGGAAAACCCTGTATTGCTCTGCACTCTAAACTTGGCAGCATCCAGCCAAAGGTTTGATTGGCCGCTTCATAATCGATGTTTAGCCACCTGAAGGCAGCATAGCTCCAGCAAAGGCACGTAGGATTCACCATAACTCGGCCATGATCCAGTCACTAATACATGCTTGACATGCCAAACGGAACAACGCCAACCTTTCTGTGAGTAGTTGCTGCCACTCCTGCTGCAGTAGCAGCAATGCCGTTGAGTGATCTCGTGTACAAGTTTGTCTCTGCTGTTAGCCTATCAGAAGAGTCACCTTTTTGCCCTGCCGATAGATGATGAAAAGGGGGTGCTCTCATGTCCAGAGCAACATCAGACACAGCTGTACGGTTTGCGCACTGATGCAGCGTATACCTTTCAGCCTGTGATGGCTCGGAGCAAGCTGGTTTGCCATGTGTCTGATAATAACCAAATGTTTGTGGGATTTGTTGTTGGGGAGGATATCCTGAGTTCATTGCCAACCTTCGTGTGTCATAGGGGTCTTTGGTGTCTCCATTTTGGTAAGGCATTACTGGACCAACAACCCTTCCTGGTCTCGCTGCAAAAAGATACAGTATATAGTTAGACCAATATCAGCCAAAGGTTTACATGACACAAACCAAAGGTACCTGCTGGCACTCTTTGTGGAGCCTGTGATGTTCTCGCGAGATTGCCAGAATATTTTTCTGTCTCCCGAGGATTTCTGTAGGACTCATCAGATGAAGGCCTTTCCCTAGATGGACCAACACGAGGTTGTTCCTTGACAGGAATTGGAGCTGAGTGAACAATAGTAGACCTGCAAAAGGCAGGTTAACCATTTAAGATAAAGAAAATAAGAAAGTGCACAATTAGGAAGGAAGCAAGAAATTCAGGCATGGCTAGTCTGAATGAGTCTGAATGTTTACTAATCAACCGCAACTTCAGTGAAAGAATAATAGCACTTTACACCATTCTGCTTATAATTACTGATATTAAACATTAAAAATTCACCTTCGCCTAATTGTTAGAATAAACTGTAGCTGTCACTCCTCTTTCAGTACTGTTCTTAACATTTGGTACAGCGGGATGAAGCAAGAATCAGTTTCATTTTGTCATCCTAACTTCAGCACCTGAATATAAATGTGTTCTCATTTATAGCTGGTTCACCTTTGCTGGCAGGGCTATACTGAAACTTAACATTTGGTACAGCGGGATGAAGCAAGAATCAGTTTCATTTTGTCATCCTAACTTCAGCACCTGAATATAAATGTGTTCTCATTTATAGCTGGTTCACCTTTGCTGGCAGGGCTATACTGAAACAACCTTGTCATTATGTGACAGGTGTGGCAGATGTATGTATTTCAAAGTGCAACCTTTCTTTATATAGAATTTGGAAAAACATTTATTCACCCGTTATAATATAGGAGTAATGAACCCTACAATTTAATCATGAGTTATGGTTCAGTATTTTTCCACTATGGCCATGCAAGCATGCAAAATACAACAAAAGATAAGTATGATGAAGAGTACAGAGTATACAGTTTAACAATTACCTAGGAAGAGAAGTATGTTTTCTTTCCATTGGAATAACAGGTCCATTTCCACTATTTTCTTCAAGATGAGCAAATTGCTTCCTAAATTGGTCGACAGCACTGCATAAACAAGCCCATAAGTTTTAGGAGCAGTAGGAATTCATACAATTAATATAAAACATACATGAATGTGCAAAAGCACCATGTAATTATGTTCAAATGTACAAGTGCTACAACCTTGGGTACAGAAAGGTTGTCCTCTCCGTTCCATTGATATAGTCTTTGAGCAGTTGTGGATGATATTCCAATATCTCATGGAATATCAGCTCCCTAATGTCTTCTTTTGTCACTCTTCTCCGTTCGAACTCAAACTCCATCTTTGTGATTGGTTGACAGGATGGCTCTCTCTCAACCTTGGCTAGCCCTTTAAAGTATGGATGAGCCAATGCCTAAAAAACATCAAAATTAGTCACAATTTGCCCACAAAAGGCCAAAGATGAACATAAGTATGCATCTGGACTCTGGACTCTGGAGCAACATAATTACCTCTTCTGCAGTTGGACGGTCTTTTGGATCAAATGCTAAAAGCCTTTGCAAAAGATCCAAGGCTAAAGGATCTGCATTGGGAAACTTCTGTGAGAACGAAATTGTCTCTTTCTTTCTCATGCTACTTAGATACCTCCTTGCTTTCTCATTCCGGACCTGGGGATAAAAGAAACTATTAATACCAGATTTCAAACCAATAAAAAAGATGCTCACCAGAGAAACTGCACAATGTTGCTAATTTAATCTGTACCCTACCCGAGAAATCGTATCCATTGATGGCGTGCCTAGAAGGTCAGTCATCAAATCTAACTGATGGACAACATTTTTACCAGGAAACAAAGGTTTCCCTGTTACCACCTCAGCAAAGATGCATCCAATGCTCCAAATGTCAATGGCCGGTGTATACTGCAATGTGAATAACAACTCATTTGCATTAACAACATAAGAGTAGGCAGCAATTGGCAAGATCATTTACTTTCATCACTATCTGTATATGATGTTAGAAGTTATTTAAACATTATGATACCTGAAATACCTTTTGATATTTGTAATACCACTATAACAATTTGAATCATCAAAAGGTCAACGAATTCAAAACAGATTTGACCTATATTGGTTTTAGCCTAATGTTTTAATCAAAGTTTAACCAAGGGACATTGTCATGTACCACACACCCTACCTTTGAAAAGAAGGATCCACAGAGCTCTGGAGCTCTGTACCATCTTGTTGCAACATAATCCTGCAAGCAAATGAACACAGAAACATCATTATTCATTAAGACCAGCTCACATTCAGTAGACAGAAACAAAGACAAATGAAACTAAGAGAAGAAAAATATTTCAAAGAACATACTGTCCAGAAGATCGTTGTTGGGGTATCATTGAATGCAACTCGTGCTAGTCCAAAATCACAAATTTTCAGTTTGCAGTTAGAATTTGCTAATATATTCTTTGGCTTCAGGTCCCGGTGATAAACATTAGCTGCAGTTAACAGAGATACTATCAGCAATGAACATATGCAGGCAAATTAGCATCGGCATAGAGTATTTAAACAGGTTTATTTCATTAAAAAAAACAAGTACTCCCTCCGTTCCGAATTATAGGACATTTTAGCTTTCTTAGATACATTACTTCTATTATGTATCTAGACATAGTGTTTATCTAAGTGCATAGCAAAAGCTACATATCTAGAAAAGTCAAAATGTCTTATAATTTGGGATGGAGGGAGTATTATTAAGATGCCTTGACACAACACAATACAGCAATGAACATATGCAAACAAAACGAGCATGTAAAATTATTTAGCAAATCTGATCTCTATAGTAATACTGAGTTTGAAAGGTGTCACAAAACGCTACATGAACCTATTTATCACTATTAACCTGATCCAGAACCAGACCTAAAAGGACAATAGAACATAAATGCACCTATGGATACCCTACTCGATAAAAATATCTAGAACCTAAAAATGATGTCTAGGAACTGAGCCTAGCTCAGTTAGGGCGTCCCCAATGGGCGTCGAAATCACTAGCTGAGATTCTCACCGACGTGGATGTGAGAGAAAACGGAAAAACAACTTCGCTAGTGACTCCTTCGTCGCTGGTCTCACTCAAAAAATGAGGTGAGAGAAGATCAGCTGTGAAGAAAATGAACCAGATTCCAACCAAGCCCTCCCTCCTCCTGGCTCCCAGTGTCAGATCCAAACGTCGGCACGTACTTGCGGGAAGACCAGCAGCCGGCGACGCGTGCACATGGGTGCCACAAACTGGGTAGCTCATGCTCGCGGGAGCCCTGCCGCCGCTGTGCCTAGCTGTGGATCCAAATCTGTAAGAAGTGGCTAGGAGGATGGAGCGAGCGGGGAGGCCATCGGCACGCGGCGGCGGTGTGGGAGTATACGTGGCCGGCGAGTGGTAGTGCAGGAAGAGATAAGGCCGGCCGGTAGCGGCAGCAACGAAAAGGAGATCTGCTCGGTGGTGCCTGGGTCCACGGATGGATGGTAGAAGCAGTTTAAATAGCTAACAACCAGCGATTCCCGTTGAGGACGCCCTTAAGGAATCGAATCCAGGGCCTGAGGAGTGCTACTCAAGCCATCTAACCAATTCAGCTAGCAGCCCTTTCGCAGTTTAAATAGCTAACAACCAGCGATTCCAGTTGAGGACGCCCTTAAGGGGTGCGGGTGTACATAAATGCACCTATGGATACGCTACTAGATAAAAATATCTAGAACCTAAACATGATGCCTAGGAACTGAGCCTAGCTCAGTTAGTGAGAGTCCTCTTCAACTAAATTTGGGTACATGTTTCTTATTATTGCAATGCTACCTAGTTCCTCCTAGGTTGGTCAATCTTTCAATTGATTTATAAGGTATCTAAGAACATCTCAAGCCCATCATAGATTCACTGAGACGAAACCAGCTACAATTTTCTTCAGTTCCAGACTTCACAAACTTCGCATACCAGAAATACAAGATTTCACAATGTAGTGACTAGTGAGGGTTCCATCCTAGTTATTTAATAGAACAAAATAATGAGGAAATGAAAATTTTATTTTAGTAAACTCCGCCTATGTTGTCTCAACATAGCAGATCCCAAGCCCTGGTAAAGGAGGAGGGTTGTGATAGGCGTGGCGAGCCAACGTTAAATCTAGCCATTCTAATGGAGATGATTTCTTGTTCCTCCACCATATGAAATGAAAAAATGATTAAAAGAAGAGTAGAATTTGAACTATTTTGGGTGCATTTGAAGACAAAAGCTTGTTGAATCGCATATCACTATTTGCAACCAACATCTTAGATATCAATTATATACTGTAAAATAATAAATGAGAAATGAAAGGATAATTGAACCAACCATAAATGGAATGGTGCAAAAAAAAAAGAGGCACTGACTCAATTCATTTTCACTGCAAAGCACTAAGCACATGATGTCATTAAAATCATATGACATATGCAATCTATATCTTCCAGGAAAACAATGCATATCAAGTGGTGACATTCCCCTTACCGGTGTGGATGTATTTCAGAGCACGAAGCAGTTGGTAGAGAAAGAACTGATAATGTTCCTTTGTCAAGTCATCGTTAGCCTTGATAACTTGGTGAAGATCAGACTCCATAAGTTCAAAAACAACATAAATATCTTTGAAGTCCCGTCTTGATGGAGGCAACATAATATGTTTGATCTCAACAATATCTGGATGTCTTAGGAGTCTCAGAAGCTTGATCTCACGGAGAATCCGAGCAGCATCGGATATGTGCTCAAAGATGTCATGTATCTTCTTGATCGCTACTTTCTCTCCAGTGTGGGCATCTATAGCGGAGCAGACCACCCCGTAGCTTCCTTTACCAATGACTTCCTGAATCTTGTATCGACTTGCATCCCCATACTCTGTGAAAAACTCTGCCTCCACGGAACTCTGCAAAGTTTTTGCAAAATTGAATTACTAAAGTATGTATAATACACCGTTTAAGTTCCCCACAGCAAAGAGTCTTCACAGATCAATGGACCATCAGTCAATCATATGGAAATAATCGATCTGAAACGGTAAATGCAGCATAACTCAAAAAGTGGGAACACAATTGGCTATTTGCAGAAAACATTGCACGTATTCAGATACATTTAATGGCCAAAATTCAGAGGGGCCGACAATCATTGGGAAGCTAGAAGTAGCATCACCAAATGAATGCAAAGTTCAACTGTTTTGCAAAACAAGACTGCCTTTACAAGCAAGATCTTTAAGCACTCGTTCAAAACTGAAATCTTCGAACGCAAATCTTGTAAAGTCAAATGCTCATGCAACATGCATAGATCGGGGCAAAGCCCAGAAGAAAAAGCAACAGCTTTGCCCACCGACACGGCTAAACAGCTGCCCTTGTGTTTTGAGAGATGGCGTCTCGAGTCCACACGATGCGGCCAACATTTGCATGTAAATCACGAGCTGCTGCTGCAAGAACGCACCAAATTTCACCTTTTTAACCAAAAATAGATGAAATATTTGAGAACTCAACAAGGTGTGGTGGGGGTGCAGAAAGCGCATAAAACATAACAGCAAAAAAATGATTCTGTGTCTACAACCAGCGGAGCCGGTGGAGAGGAGGAGGGCATAATAATCATATCAAAGACTCAAAGATTCAAAGTCTGCCGGAAGAAAAAAGACTGGCGACCAACACAACCATGTCGAAAATTGACCTTTCTAAAAAAACAGCAACGAAAATTCAAACTTTGGAGTTTGGCACGGCATGGAAACGAGGGAGTAAGCACCGAAAGATCCTCAGCGCTACCAGAAGAAGGCTGGCGGAAACGGAGGAGAGAAAACAAATTGTTCGGCAGGCGGACCGGAGACCAAAAATGAACGGAACAAAACTCGCAGGAGCAGCTGAATCCCGATGAGACAGACTCAGACGCGCCGCAAATTGGCAGCGAAGTGGATCGCGAAACGTACAGATCCGAGCCCACCTTCTTGCGCTGATCGTGCTGCATCTCGCCGGCCTCCGGATCTCGTACGGAACCTCCTCAGAAAACGCCGTCCCGACCGGCAAGGAAGGACAGCGAGCTTGGCTGGCTGGCTGGCCACCTCCGAGTGGAATCAATCCCAAAGCGAACGGTCAGGCACACGGCATTGGCTCGCGCCGCGCCGTCTAGGCCGGAACGCAGACACGCCGCTGGGCGCCCCCCGCGCGTCGGGCGGGCGGATCGGCCAGAGCGAGAAGACGGCGGGCAAGGAAGGCGGGGCCCGGGGAGACCCTAACCCTGGCTGGCGACGCCGGCGCGCAGGGCAGGGCTAGGGCTCCCTCCCTCTCTCTCTCCTCCTCCTCCTCCTCGTGGTCCGCACGAGCGCTCCGGGGAGGTGGGGGGAATAGAGAGAGAGGAGGACCGAGGACGGGTGGTGGTGTGGGCTCTCAGCTCGTCTCGGTTTGTTTTGTTGCCATGAATGAATCTAGGGGAGGCGGGTCTCGCTTTGGACGGGATTACCCCCGGTTGGCCACCCGTCGTGGGTCTGGGTCGCGTGCGCCGTGCGGTAGGTCGCCGGGTTTGGCCGCCGTCCGATCCGCATCGCAGCGCGCGTCTGACCTGACCTGGCCCCATTTATGGCAGAGGAGGTTAAACGGTGAGCGGTCTGCTCAGTCTTATCCGCCTATATTTAAGGCAGGTCAATCCTTTTTGCTTAGCACTCATTCATTATTCGCCTTAGCACTCATTCATTATTCGCCGGCAGCCCGAAATGGGTGCTTGGTATGCATTTTGTTTTTGATGTCTATATAGATCTAGACAGTCTTACTCATCCTGTTCGTTTGTTAGTTTCAGTCAGGCTTATTCAACTAGCCAATAGTGTTTTCCTCTCACAATAAACTAGCACTAGCCAGTCCAAACCAAAATTTAGAAACCAACAAACGAACACTGTCTTTTTTTATATACCTGGGGCCCATGAATATCCTGTTTCAGGGCCTGTTTAGTTGGCAAAAATTTTTGGTTTTGGGTACCGTAGCATTTTCGTTTGTATTTAGTAATTAGTGTCTAATTATGGACTAATTAGGTTAGAAAGTTTCGTCAAGCGATTTCTCACCCAACTGTGTAATTAGTTTTTTTTCGTCTACATTTAGTACTCCATATATGTGCCGCAAGATTTGATGTGATGGATACTGCGCAAAAAAATTTGGCTTTTGGGTGGAACTAAACAGGCCCTCTGTTAACACTGGATTTTGGTCAATTCTGGAAGATGACAGGTGGACCCACATGCAGGAAGAAGAGTGTTCGGCAAATAACGCAAGCGGTCGGCTAAATGCTTGTGCGGTCGGTTATTCGAAGGCGGTAACTCCATTCGGGAAAGCGAGAAGATGGCAAGCAAAGCCGATCGAGAAGATGAAAGTTGTAATAATAAAGGACTCGAGAGTTTGGGGCAAGGAATCGTAGTTTCCAAGTTTATTTAAAGAGTTCCTTTGTAAATCGTAGTCTTTAGGACTCGTGTTTCGTCTAGGGTATAAATATTGACCCTCGACCATTGTAATAAGCGTTCACAACCAAATCAATACAACCGCCCCGTGCCAACTTTCGGAGTCCTTTTGTCGTGTCGTCCGAGTTCTTGAGAGGAGTCATCGATCCGTCGACCTCCGTAAGTTCCGAACAACCTTGTTATCATGTTTAGTATCATGCGGTGGATTTAGACGTGATGCAAGTAGTCTTGTTTGTTTTCAATGATCGTATGGCGGATCTTTGCTTGACAATCAAGAAGTCTTCGCTTATACTTTGTTTATGAGTAGATACCGTATGCAAGCGTTTGCTCAATATGCTTAGTGGAAGCAAGGCAGTTATCGGCTCTATTAGATTACGGCAAAATCTAAATAGATTCATCAAGTTATCCTGTGTTGCATGTTTTAAATATTTTATATATTTGTAACACACTTTTGCCCAATCTAGATTGATATTGTTCGCCCTCTTCTATGGTTTTATTCGAGCTTCAATGATCATTACTTTCATAATACCTTTGCAAATAGATAACATGCTCGTAATGGCCAAATTATTTTAATCTAGATTGTCACATGTTGTGGGTTCATGTATGTTAATCACGTTTAAGTTTTTTGACGAAACTAGGTGTCGTCTGCGGCGAGACTTGTTTTAGATTGGCTTAATCATGTTTATCTACACGTTCCTTCTTCATGGACCCCAACTAAAATTTGGATTTGTTGAGCTTGGATATGCATTAACGCATAATCAATTTCACTTGTTCAAACATGTCTTCCCATGCATATGCATTCGCAAT